AGCTACGGCTGTCTTTGAGAAGGTAAGGTGGACCTTAGCTTCAGGTACTTCCTGAGGCTGCCTGGACCAGCGGGGGCCCCTTGCATGTTGGGAAAGAACAGAACAACAGGATTGGAAAGTGAAATTGGAGGGGTTCTGCTCCTCCAACCGTCTCCTCCAAACCTTTACCAGACATTCCCAGACAAATGGCTGTCCAATTTCTTCTTTAAAATCTCCAGGAATGGAGCAATCACAACTTCTGGAGGAAAATTGTTCCGCCGGTGAATTGTTCTCACTGTCGGGGAAGTCTCTCCTTAGTTCTAAGCTGTTTCTCTCCTTGGTTAGTTTCCATCTATGGCTTCTTTTCCTGCCTTCTGGGGCTTTGGAGAATAGATACAGATAATCAAAGTTGGAAGGGACCTTGTAGGTCATCTAGTCCAACCCACCCCCCCAGCCCAAGCGGGAGACCCTACACCATTTCTGACAGATGGCAGTCCAATCTCTTCTTGAAAGTCTCAAGTGATGACTCCTCCACAACTTCCGAGGGCAACTTCTGTTCCATGGGTTGATGGTTCTCCCAGTCAGAAAATTTCTCCTTATTTCCAAGTTGAATCTCTCCTTGTTTAGTTTCCATCCATTGTTCCTTGTCTGGCCTTCGGGTGCCTTGGAAAATAGCTTGACCCCCTCCTCCTCCTCTCTGTGGCAGCCCCTCAAATATTGGAAGATTGCTCTAATGTCTTCCCTGGTCCTTCTCTCCACTAGACTAGCCAGGCCCAGTTCCTGCAACCGTTCATTGTAGGTTTTAGTCTCCAGTCCCCTCATCATCCTGGTTGCTCTTCTCTGCACTTTTTTCCTAGAGTCTCAACATCTTTTTTATAATGTGGTGAACAAAACTGGATGCAGGACTCTAGGTGTGGTCTTACTAAGGCTTTATAGAGTGGTATTAGTACCTCACTTGATCTTGACTGTATTCCTCTGTTAATACAACTTAGGATTGCATTAGGCTTTTTTGGCTGCTGCTGCACACAGCTGGCTCATATTCAGCTGGTTGTCCTAAGCTTGATACCCTCTTCTTAGGGGCAGCCCCTCAAATATTGGAAAACTGCTATCATGTCATCCCTAAATCTTTCTTTTCACTAGACTAGACATACCCAATTCCTGCAATCGTTCTTCGTATGTTTTAGCTTCCAGCCTCCTCATCGTCTTCGTTGCGCTTCTTTGCACTCTTTCTAGAGAGTCTCCACATCTGCTTTTTTTTAATATATAGTGTGGTAACCAAAACTGGATGCAGTATTCCAGATGTGGTCCTACCAAGGCATTATAAAGAGACACAAATACTTCACATGGTTTCGATTCCTCTTTTGATGCAGCTTTGGGGGATAGCGCTGGCAGATAGTAACTTTTTTTCTATGTGATTTTTCTTGTATTATCCAAAACTGGGTTCAAATCTTGGTTGGTCAAGTTCTTCTCTGTGCCCTTTAGAAAACGAGAAGAAAGTCGGTTTAAGGAACCCTTGTTCCAGCCAATTGACGAGTCAGCTTAAAAAACAACCGCAGCCTGGATAAACATCAACAAGCAGAGGACACCAAAGGGCAGAAAACAACCGCCAGTTTCACCACCTGGGCTTAATTTTTAAGAAGAGCTTCTCCTAATTTCCTGATAAACAGGTTGCTCCCCCAGATAGGTATTCGGATCTGAGTTTTGAGCTGCAGTGGAGAAATTAGTCCAGCTTTCCTCCACCTCAGCACTATGAAAAGGTCTGAGGAATTCTGGGAGTTGAAGTTCTCAGAGTTGAGAAACCCTGGGCTGGACTGAAGTAGGATTTAAGATCCTTCGCCAAGAATGAGAATAAGGGATCTTGGAGGTCTTCTAGTCCAGCCAAGCAGGAAATCCTATATTTCAGACAAACGGTTGCCCAAACTCTTCTTAAAAACCTCTAGGGATGGAGCACCCACAATTTCTGGAGGCAGGGAGTTCCACTGATCAGTTATCCTTAGTTCTAGGTTGCAGTTCTCCTTGATTTTTTTTCCCGTCTGTTGCTTCTTGTTCTGCTTTCAGTTGCTTTGGAAAATAAGTTGACTACCTCTTCTTTATGGCAGACCCCCAAATATTAGAAGACTGCTATCTTGTCACCCCTGGTCCTTCTTTCCACTAGACTAGACATACCCAATTTCTGCAACCATTCTTCATATGTTTTAGTCTCCAGCCCCCTAATAATCTTTTGTTGGTGGCTCTCTCTCTCTCTCCCTCTCCCTCCCCCCTCTGTATCTCTCTTTCGTCTCTCTTTCTCTCTCCCTCCCTCCCCCTCTCTCATCTCTCTCTCTGTGTATCTCTCTCTTATCTCTCTTTCTTTCTCCCAGTATCTCTTTCTCTCTCTTTCTCTCTCATATCTCTCTCTCCCACTCCCTCCCTCCTCTCTCATCGCTCTCTCTCATCTCTTTCTCCCAGTATCTCTTTCTCTTTCTCTAATCTCTCTCTCCCCCTCCATCCCTCCCTCCCCCCTCTCATCTCTCTGTATCTCTCTCTCATCTCTCTCTCTTTCTCCCAGTATCTCTTTCTCTCTCTTTCTCTTTCATCTCTCCCTCCCTCCCTCCCTCCCTCTTTCTCTGTATCTCTCTCTCATCTCTCTCTCATCTCTCTTTCTCCCAGTATCTCTTTCTCTTTCTCTCTCTCTAATCTCTCTCTCCCCCTCCCTCCCTCCCTCCCTCCCCCCTCTCATCTCTCTCTCTGTGTATCTCTCTCTTATCTCTCTTTCTTTCTCCCAGTATCTCTTTCTCTCTCTTTCTCTCTCATATCTCTCTCTCCCACTCCCTCCCTCCTCTCTCATCGCTCTCTCTCATCTCTTTCTCCCAGTATCTCTTTCTCTTTCTCTAATCTCTCTCCCCCTCCCTCCCTCCCTCCCTCCCCCCTCTCATCTCTCTCTCTGTATCTCTCTCTCATCTCTCTCTCTTTCTCCCAGTATCTCTTTCTCTCTCTTTCTCTTTCCTCTCTCCCTCCCTCCCTCCCTCCCTCTTTCTCTGTATCTCTCTCTCATCTCTCTCTCATCTCTCTTTCTCCCAGTATCTCTTTCTCTTTCTCTCTCTCTAATCTCTCTCTCCCCCTCCCTCCCTCCCTCCCTCCC